GACCCAAGTACTGGCGTCAGCCTGCTTCCTTCCCAAAATTAAAAAAAAAAAAATCTTCTCCCTTCTCCCATAGCTCTTGGCCCCTTTCTTATATTAGGCCACACCTACCCAATTTGAGCTCCACCCCATTCATCCAATTTTACAGGCCACAACATCTATTCAGCCTCATCCTGCTCCCAATCTAGGAGGTACCTTATGCTCTGCAGAGTGTTCATTGATGGAAATGGAGTGAACGCAACGTGGGATGCAAGGAATTTGGGCCTTCACTTCCCCACTGATCTGTAAATGATTAATGGTTGGGCTGTGGCCAGCAGAGAGAATCTGTGAAAGATAAGAAAAAGATGGATGCTTAATGAGACGGATCAGGAAGTACTTAAAAAAAACAATTTCAGTACAGTTAAACAGTAGTCATCTTAAGTCCCCAATAACAGATACAGCAGGCCTCTCTGATATGTAATCTTTGGGGGAATTCCTGTTCTCTGCACTGCAGTTTACAAACCTCCTCGTGCACCAGACTTGTGAAACGATCCCCTCTCTATGGTATGCAAGAGCAAGATGTTTTAGGTGTCTTTTAGAAACCCACTTTTTACATTGGTCATTTCCAGCCCTAAATTCCCAGTAACTTTTTTTTTTAAATGCTGACTTTTACTGGATTTCTAAACCATTTGGATATATTTGTTGAGAGGTTTAGCAGTGTTTCTCTCTCTCAGACACATACACAGAGCTTTATAAAGAATAAAGGGAGAGGAGAAGCATCAGAATAATAATAATGGTTAAATAAAGAGCCAAAAAAGCAGCAAAGCAACAACAACAATTAAGATATAAGAATAAGCAAGGAAGCCAACAAGGTGTGGGGGGGGGAGCTGTGCAGGTTCCAAAGTCCAGGGATGAAAGACTCACCAGATCTTGGTAGAACATAGCTTGCTGCTGGCACTGAGGCAAGGGAAATACAGTGGTGGGTGTCACTGACCGTAGGTGCCAAAGAGTGAGTGCTGGGCCCCCGCCACACACCTGTGACAGGAAAAACAAAAAGCCTTATTTCAGAGCATTCTTTCCCCAACCTGTCCCCTCCACATGCGTTGAGCTACAACTCTCAGTCCACAAGCCAATCACCCATTTCGGAATAAATGGGAGAGAGAGCAGGGGCTTCAAAGGAAGAGAGCTAGTCCAGGAATAATGAAAGCGCCATCAATGAGCCAAACAACTGGGGCACCCTTGCCTGATGCATCTCAAGAGATGTAAATCACCGAGGAGCTGAGGGACTCACCATCCAGTCAGAGTCAGTTGCCAAACAGCTGATCCACTTCCCATTCTGAGGGCGGCTGCATTCCTAAAGGAGTTAAGGAGAGTTTTAGAGGAAAACTGCTGACAGAAGAGTTAAGGAGTAGTTAGACTCACAGTACTAAAAACCGACCTCTGGATAAGTCCTCCTAGAACAGACCCACTGAAATCAGTGAGATTTACATTCATAATTTTAAAAAAACCTATGGGAAACCTAGAAAAAGGGTAAGGAGCACAGAAATCTTATGCATTCTGAGTTTTGGGGGAAGAGGTTAAGATGAAAATACCTCATATTTGTGGACTTCAATGGATTGGACGTGACCTCCTGTACGTAAATCTGAAAAATAGATTAAAAGAAAAAAAACCCAGTCCTTTTTTCTGATTTGAAACCACAGCATCCTTCAGATGTGTTGAGCTGCCCAGCATTCACTGCATTCCCCTTGCAACTGGAAGGCAGCAGGTTAGGGGCTGAAATGAAAAGAACACCAAATAGACTAGAAATGTACAGTCCTTCAGATTCTGCTGATCTCTCCCAGCAGGATCAGCCAATACAGCCTACAGTGAGGGATCCTGGGAGCTGTAGTTGGAAATCCATAGCATCTGGATTTAAAGGTCATCCTAGGAAGCCTTATCTGTCTGCATTCTGGCCAAACCAGACTCCGGTAGTTTTGCATATAGAGCCTGTTCCACAACAGTAGGGCCAACATGGATAAGGTCCTGCCTTGACAGGACCCAGATACAACTTTGCCTTAGAGGTGAAAGGAAGGAATGCAGCTTAGTGATATGGCACATGCTTTACAGGCAGAAGTCTCAGATCAATCTCTCACATCTTCAGCCAGAAATCCCAGAGATCTGCTACTAATCATGCAGCACGAGCTAGGTGGACTATTGATGAATTTCATATAAGGCACATATATTATGCTCCCGTAGGACAGCTTGTCAGATTCGTGGAAGAACTCCCAGAATTCCCTAGCCAGTATGGCCACTGCCGAGAATTCTGGGAATTGGAGTTCACATATCCAAAGGACACTACATTTAGCTAAAGGCTGTTAGACCTTTTACAGAGGCAGGGGGGCACACATGAGAGGAAGGGAGAGCCAGAGTCTGACACAGGAGACCGTAAACCCTTACCCCAAAGACGCACAGTGCCATCTTCACTTCCTGACAGGCACTCTCGGAGCTGCTCCCGAAGGGCCAAACAGTGGATATAATCCGTGTGGCCCTGAAATTCACGCTGGGGGAGAGAGAGAGAAGGCAAAGTGACTTCATGTCTACCTATCTATATATGGGTGTTCCACTAATGGTCCATGCAAATCAGCCTTCTAACTGGTCAACAGTGGAAGAGACAGAGGGCACCAGAGGGCTCACAGTTAGGCTTGCTATTCACTCCTAACAAAAGAGAGTATGTCTCTGACCTACACTATTCCCAAAATTCTCAGTGAATTCTAAGAGCTGTGGTTCCAATACATCTGGAAGGACACTAGGCTGAAGAATGAGCAGGATCTTTAAGGCTGTTGAGCTACCTGTTTATTAGATCCATGCCCCTCCTGGTTAGGTAAGGCCTCCCAGGAGGTGACATATAGTTGGATCCAAGCTGCAGTGAATTCATCCTTGAGAGAGGAGGTGGTGTGCCTTCTCCTCAAGAAGCCATTGCTGGACCCAAAGTTTCTGGACGGTTTTTGTCCAGTCTCCAACCTTCCCTTCCCGGACAAGGTTGTTGAGAAGCGGTCAGACTATGGATAGCATGGATATTTGTGGTATGATAAAGTTAAAGTTAATGTGGACTTTAAAAATCACTATATT